TGAGAAAATATATTATGTCTTGATGAACGATTGTGAACGATTGTGAACGACATGTATATGGAATTGATTTTTCCTCTTTGTCAAAATGAAGTAGTTTTGAGGATCACATGAATAAAACAAAACAAAAACGTTTCGCCTGTTATAGGATAACGAATCAAGTTTGAATTTGAATTAGCGCTGAGCTTGGAGGAGCTCCACTGACATGCCTGGTAATGTCACTTGTTGTTCGTCTTCGTCACTGTCTAAATAGAGACCACCTTAGGCGCCTTTGATTTTCGTGTCATTTTTAAAAAATATTATGTTAATGCTTTTATTCAGTTTTGTACTTGTTTCCTTTGTTTGCTTTTTTGTGGGGACGTTGTTTAGGTTGTTTTGTTTTTGTTTTAGTTTCTGCATGCTGTCGTTGTTTTTGTTGTTTTGTTTGGGGGGGGGGGTCTAGTTGGATTTTGGTTTTATTGTTTGTTTGGGTTGTTGTTGTTGTTGTTTTGGAGTGGTGCCAAGTATAGCATGGCTTTAATTACCTTAGAAACATTGAGGGCTATTATCAGAAGTATAACATCAGCTTCTGTTGTGCAGCGGTTAGATACTTCGCCGTCGCATGCAGATGACCTGGCTTCGATACCCGCGTGGGGAGAATATTCATCGAGCATCTCTGTCTTTTTGCTGGGATAGCCCTGACAGGCAAGGTCGAAGTAGCCCACCTCTTGAATAATTTAAATTGTGTTGATGGGGGCATAAAACATGTACAATTGCATTTTTAGAAAGAAGTAGAACATCTCCGATAGGTCAAAACTAAATTGAGGAAGTCATTGAAAACTCCCAAAATAACTAAAGTTTTAGAGCACTCAATGGGGATTCGAATCAATATCTTTTTTTTTTAGTTGTTTAGTTTTAGTAAGATTTGACGGCGCTCTCAACTGCATAAGATCATATGAGCGCCAAGGGGGTGAATGTCAACAGAGAAGTCCAAACAGGGAATCAGGCTTACTCTCCTTGCCTCTCTAGCCTTAGCAGCACAAAGACTGCTTCGACTATCAAGGAACCCCAGAAATAGCAGTTCACAAGAGAGAGACAAACACACAAAAGAAGTAGACGAAAATGACCATAGTAAAGATGAGGAAATAAAAAGCAGTAGTACCCCGTACGAGCGTGACATTGATAAATCAGCCCATTTACAATTCTACTGTGCACAAGAACATGTAAATATCACTCCTTTGGGAATGGCCTAAAGACACTTCAACCAGTAGCACTGTCCGGGGGAGGGGAATCTTTCTTCTCTTATAGCTATGCAAGATACAAATTATGCTATTGAAAGTAAAGAGCTGTTTTGTTTTGTTTCTGTTTTCCATTTCGTTTTTGCTGGTTTATTTTTGTTTCTTTTTTAGTACTTGTTGTTGTTGATTGTTAGTGTGTTTGTTTATTTGTGACTATATGTTTGTTTGTTTGTTTTGTTGTTTGTGTGTTTGTTTGTTTGTTTGTTTGTTTGTCTGTCTGTTTGTCAGTTTGTCAGTTTGTCTGTTTGGTTGTATTTTGTTGGAGGGTGGGGTTTTTTGGGGGGAAAGGGGTATGCAAACTGCCACATTGACATAGTGCGGTGATTATTTATGTGCAAAGACGTACAAAACAGCAATAAAAGTTTTCCTTTGATGTAAATCATACGTGTACCTCGGCCCAGGGTGCTTAATAGAAACACAGCAAAAACAATTTTTTAAACCAGGAACCTCTGTTGCACAGTGTGGTATTTTCCCCTACATCTCTTCAGCCACAGAGTAACAAAACTTTGAGAACGTGGAAACGAAGAAAGTCTGAGAAAGGTCATGATGTTCAACACACTCCCCGCAGTAGCGGGTGCAGCACCGACCCCTAACGCTTCGCAACTACCACCGCCTCCTCCTCCACCACCACCACCACCATCAGTCGCAAATCTACTGCCACCATCCCAAACGCCAGCCTATTTCCAGCCCGCTCCTCGACATGTCTTGCCAATGCAGAAGTAAGTAGTTTGGGCTATTGTAGTTGGATTGTTTGTTTATTTGTTCATTTGTTTATTCGTTTGTTGGTTTGTGTGTTTGTTGTAAGGGTGGGGGGCGATGTATTTTTGGGGGGGAAGGGGTTTGGGGGGTTCGGGAGTAAGGACAGTTCGTTCTTTATATTACTTTTCAATTAAATCTATATGACAGTATCAAAAGCACTCTCAATTTCTCAGTTTTATAGAGCAAAATTAAATACAATCTTTAAAAGTGCTTTCGAAGATGCAAATAGATAGATGGATGGATGGATAGGTAGATAGATAGATAGATAGATAAATAGATAGATAGATAGATAGGTAGATAGATAGATAGATAGTAGATAGATACGTTGTTAAGAGGCTGGTGTTGCGATTTAACACCCTTTTCTGATTTGGGATCGTGCCACGCGGGTGTAGAGCCTGGAAAATTTATCAAACAAACCAAGTTCAAACAACGTCCCTTTAAAGATTCGAACCAGGGACATCAGCGCCGCAGATAAAAATTAATACCAACCAAGCTAATGGTGGTGGCCGATAGGTGGAAATTAAACAGAAGTGAATTTAGCAATGAGGCATGCAAAAGAAGAAGAAGAAGAAGAAGAAGAAGAAGAAGAAGAAGAAGAAGAAGAAGAAGGGTGAGCGAGCGAGAGAGAGAGAGAGGGGGGGATGTAACTATTAATTAATAAACAGAGCGATAACTCATTTATAGAAGAAAATATGTCAATCAATGAGCGGTCCAAACACGTGAACAAATATGTTTTACTATTTAAAACTCCAGCCTTCGGGTGCCCAAACACCCGTCTGTCATGGGCTATTAGCCTGCAGCAACAATACTGCGGGGTTCCCTCTACCATTTATTTTCATGGCGCTCTCGCTAGACCCTCTCCCCTGGTTGAAAAAAAACGGCCACATTTTCCGGGAGAAATCACGGCTTCGGGGTCTGAAAGGGCAAGCGGTTAATCCATTATTCATTGCACGGCCGCGACGAAGCTGATATGCGGTCCATCTTCACAGAAAGAGAGCGGGTCTGTCCCAGCGAGTGTCCTTCGACGCATGCGCTCAGAGCCACGATCCCACCCGCGGGGAAATACCGGCCATTGAGGCGGGGAAACGGGAGGTAATTCCCGCTACGCAGGACAGGAACTCGCAGAGTTATCGTCCGTTTACGGGGTGATCTTTGGCTGCTGATTCCTGCTCCCGCCACGCAGTGCATTACCAGGCCCCCTTGCTTGAAACCAGTAAATCTGAGAGATGCCATCAACTCTTGATGTTTCTGAACCTCACAGCTTGAGTACTTGCTGTGTGATTCTGTAAACCATGCTTGGATGAAATAATAGCTATAGTGCTGTTAATGTATCACACTCTCGGGGTTTTTACTGGTTCCCTTTACTGTCTCCGAGGCAGAAAGACTTCCTGTATAATGCCATTGTCTCTGAAACTCAGAGGTTTTTCCCTGTTTTGGTTGTCTGCAAGAGGCCTACCGTTACTTTTCCCCTTGTTATACCATTGTCTACCATTACCAAAGCTAGGTAAACCCTTTCATCACCGTAGCAAAGTAGAAGGAACACCTTTTCTCAGTCACTCTAATTAATATTCCTTGACCATGTTATCGCTTCTTTTTTTTCTCCGAAGATTTTTTAATTATTTTAATCTAAAGGCTTCTTTCCTGGACAAGTTTACAAACTAATCGTTTAATGGTAATCAATTACACCGACAATATTGTTTTGCTTATTTGCTTGTATGTTCGTCTGTCTTTTTATTCGTTGTTTGTTTGTTTGTTTGCTGCGTGTTTGTTCTTTGGGGGGGGGGTGCTTTCTTAAAGAGGTTTTTATTAATATTTTTCCCCTGGAAATCAATTCTTTTCAATCATTTTTATCAGACACACAAAATCTAACAAGACCGCTGACAGTAAGATCAGTTAAAATTGAATTATACCCTCGGGAAGAGCTCTCTATTTAATCTCCCTAACATTTCCCAACAGTTGGCGTATCGTGCACAGAAGACAGTTGGCGTGGCGTGCCGTGAGCCGAGTTTT